CTTTCTCAGTACCCTGGATTCTTGAAATTCAAATTTCCCGGCAAAGTAAAAAGTAAAATTTTCCTTGTTTTGGGTCATTAAGTGCTTATAACTTTTTGAAAACTCAATGGATCTTATTGAAACTCTTCCACTTTGTAGTCCTAATTGAGATGCGTCCGTAGACACCAAGATCGTAGGAATCCGTGCCGTCGTTTGGGCTGCAGTCGAATGGCAATCGAATCAATTTTCAAGTTAAGGGAGTTGCCTGTGACTAAGAGTGTCGGCCACCCGTTTGTTATCGGGACTTTAGTAGGACGTCATTTTCCTCGACCGGGGGTGGCTACCGCCACTCTTGATACGCGCCAAAACTCTAAGTGATGGGATTGGAGGTCAAGGCGCATAGGTGCAGCTTTTGATATTGCGAGAAATACGTGTTTGAAGCTTTGAAATTACATGGATCTTGATGGTGGTAAGAAAGTTCTAACTGACTTTTTTATGCTTAAACATTGGAATTTGTGAGCGAATTTTTCACAGAATATGCATTTCTATGATTTTTTTTTTTTTTTTTATTTTATTATTTTTTTTATTTTTTTTTAAACTTCTCGTTTGATTGGGAATCTTCTGCTAGGAAATTGAATTCAGTCTAATGTGGTTATTTATACATCCACACTGATCTAGCTTTGTAATTTTCAAAATTCTCTGTAAAGACGATAGTAGCCTGTGACGCTGAATGTCTGAAAATATACTAACTAACTAACTATAAAATAAAATGTCTGCATATTGTTAAACAGGTCTACTACGTACGGACGTGACTTTTTTTATTTTTAATCTCGTAATTATTCACATTACTCGGCGCTGAACAACGACTTATAACAAAAATCGACTTGATGATCGATTGTTCCATGGAAACTCATGAAAATTTCTCTGTAAATACTGTGTCTGTAGATTGTTGTTATTTCACTCCAAAAAAAAAAAAAAAAAAAAAAAAAAAAAAAAAAAAAAAAAAAAAAAAAAAAAAAAAAAANGCTTTCTTTGGTGCTACGTCTAGGACGTCCGGAATTATTTTGAACTTTTTTAGAGCGCTTTCTATTTCTTGAGGTGTCTTTTTCAAAGGATCCGCTGTTATGATTTTGATGCTAAAGTACAAAAAAATTGGAAACGTGACGAGTACGGATGTCCCTTTGATGAAGAGCACATGATACGGGAGCTTCATTGTAATTTGCCTCATGGAGACCTCTTTTGATTTTGTCTGCCCTTTAAAAACAATACATTTTTAATATTACAACTGTTTGTACATATACTTTTATGGGTAATAGTAATTGTGGTCCTCTCATTTCATGTGAATGGAGCAGTTGTAATGACAGTTCGAAATGAAACTTGTGCGTGTGTATACCTTTGATTCTTAAGATAAATCAATTAGACCATTTTTATGAAAAAACACTCAATAATTGCAATTACCATGGCTTAGTTGTGCGCAGTTGATTAAAACGATTTATTTACGTTTTCTAATTTGAAACTAAAGCTTGTGAATTTTCACTGAGTATTGTGAGTAAATGCCAGTATGTATTTAAAAACAAAAAACCTCTAGTCTTACAACTATATTCGACTATATTTTTCATACATACTTACATTTTTCCGTCTTTGGACGTAATTAGCACAAATACAGCACTCATGGATATCTAAGTCTCGAAAGCACACAATTCACAGTGATGCACAAAATTCTGCTAATGTGAAAAGTTATACGAAACTACACGCAGTTCATTCAGTCCAGACGCTCATGTTGAAGAAATGTTTTTGAATGTCACCTTTTAACTTTCACGGTAAGGGAGAGCGTCTTCACTTGTCATAATAATTAATTACTCAGTCCGCCTTTCAACCAATATCAGATAATTTTTTGATTTCTCAGTCCTCATCTCCTCTCAGATGTAAATTTGATAATCGTCATCCGTCGATTAGGCTGCAGTAACCATTTGTTTTGCGTATTTAGGGAATTTAGATCAACATCACTATTGCGGTGTAAGCTCTCTAATTCTCCACAAGTTGAAAGTCTCCACGCGAAAAATTGAAAGTCTTTTTTTACTGAGACTCTTTTCCATTGTTGCTACGGGTCGACGTTGTTAACAAGTATGTATTAAAACCTTTTGTGTCACTTCAATGATTGATTAAAAGTAAGTTGGATGCTTTGAATGTAGCCCTTAGACTCACTAAAATTTTTTCCTTTAAGTTCCCTCTTCTCCACCATTATAATTTTAACTTATAATCAAAGCAGAGCCGACAGATTTACTGTGGCTGGATGATCATAATCTATGAAACCACAGCTAATAGTATACACTAATAGTGGGAGATAACTTACTCCCCCAGTATTTGATTTTAATCAAATTCCTGTGACTATCAATGCCGAGACACGAAAATCTCGTTTTTGTCGGTTTGTCATTTGTGGTTTTGTCGGTTCTCATCGGATTGTCCCGTTCAAAAGTAGTCAATGTTCCAAGCAATATGATAACATGTGCGGATTAACTTGTTATGATATACTTTGTTTCTCTTCTCGAAAAAATAAAAAAGAATCAATTTAGGAAAAAAAAAAATAATTATAATGAAAAAATATAACAAGATATCGGTAATTTTGAAAGAGTTCAATCAACACGATGAAAGTACAGGTTCTACATTGTTTTATTATTAATCTCATTTTATTCGGGACCATCTCCTCTGTAATTATTCATTGATGAGAATGATCGAATGGATAGTTTTTACCACTTCTTACTGAATTAACGGTACCAATGTATAAAGCTTGGTCAAATAAACCTAAAAAAAATTACTGAGCATGTGTTTGAACATTTATATCCACCGCTTCTTAAATCATTTCAGGCTGAATTTAGGAATTTTTGGCCTCCTTTCCCATTGTCATGTACCCACGTAGATCTACAACTCCCTGAATTTTACGTCATGCTTTGCATGATCATCTCTCCTCTCTACGCAAGAATCAGCATTTTTGTCGACTTTATCTACCAAAACTATAAAATAATATTCACGTCACGCAATATCAGACATTCTTTCCTCAAAGCATGATATTTAAAAGACCACACTCGTGCGAGGTAAAGTAGCATATGGTCGCATAATCTTTCTGAATTTTGATAGATGTTACCAAGGTTTCACGGCTTAAAATTTATCACTCGAAAAAATTTAGCCAAAAAGTGTGACAAATCCTCCCATAAAAGTTTCGAGGCTTACCTAAAGCTCGCAATCAGATTTCCTGAAGAATTACCAGACGTATACGGTTATATCTACTAGAAGTCAGTACAATATTCGTTGGGGAGTACGTTTTTGTCTCGTGGACGCAAGAATGTAGCTCTGTATTTCGAACTTGCAAAATTGACCAGAGCAATTCAATTTTTCATAAGAGTACCTCCATGCAATTTCTTCTGATTTTTGCGTATAATTAGAAGAATAATCTGTGTTTTAAAGTCAGAAATCGACGGTGAAACTACCAAACCACGTATCTCGGTTTGCGACGTCGCAGACTTCCTGTCATACTTTATTTTTTAAATGAAAAACTACTCAACATCCAGTCTTGAAAATTTCTGTGATTTTTCCTCTTTGTGCGGAGAAAATTCTGTGAAAATTTCAAGGAATGATATTGATTTGGTCTACTTCAAAAAAATAAAATGTGAGCGTAGATTTTTAAACATCGCAAACGAGATACGTGGTTTGGTAGTTTCACCGTCGAAATGTTCTTCAGTACAATACTTGAGTAGAAATTTTGCGGCGCGACGTTGATATATAGTCACGTTCTGTTGCTTAAATAGGGACGATATAAGCCAGCGGGCTTATTTTTGAAATTTATAGATAAAGCTTTAGATAAAGGAGACAAAGATGAAATTGAGCCATCGTATTGGTGGAAATGCGTAGTTGTAGCAGACTTTACCTAAAAACAACCAACGAGGGACCCCATACTCCTGCAGTCGGTCCACTATTTTCCCCCAGTTTGTTACAACCACCCGTTTTGACCAATATAGGATTGCTCCATTTTTCCTTTGGTTTCGTTGTCTATTGCTTTCTTTATTCAATAACCATCCCGCAGATTTTTTAGTGCCAACCAGTAGTAGTGGTGCTTTTTATTACGCGCAGTTTTGTTTTTTCTAAGCTCGACTTCCTTTTGCATTTATACGAAGACTTCGTTGTTCAAGGTTTGCACATTCGAAAAGAGACGAGCTGTCCTACCTTTTATCACCGGAGTGTTCATAACTTTTACCTGCCAGCCAAATTTAATGGAAAGTCACGAGAGGGACGCTAAAGGTAACAGCAGAAAGGTATTGCAAGATAATAAAATTCGCGTCGAACGAGAGAGCGAAGAATTTCAAGACAAAACTTCAACGTCCGATTCTCCTTGTTTCTGCAACCGCAAAGTGGCGGGGGTACACTGTAACCTTTGCAAAATGTTTACACCGAATGTGCGATTGAGGAAGATATGTCCGCGCCACCCAAACACTGTATGGCTGATGGACTTGCAAGTCTGTCCGAAATGCTTCAAAGGAACAAATCTTCAAGAATTTTTGCAACTTCGAGTTGAAGTGAGACCAAAGCGAAGTTCAACTTCTAGTTCCTCTGATTCCGATCTGTGATATTGACCCTCTCAATTTTCAAATACTTTTAATTTTAATTATCTTCAATTTAGATTGATTTTGTAAATTTATGAGGTATTTATTTTATCAACTTAAGGTAGTTTCTACTTAATATCCGTATTGTAATTTTTTTCTTTCGAAATAAAGCTTCAGAAAAATATGTATGTATACTTAATTCGGATGACCAGATTTTTAGGCGCTCACCCTCGACAAAATTGAGGGGTTTGGCAACCATGGAGAGGATCGTTCTTTAACATTGAATGCCAACGATGATACCTCACGAGTTCCGATAACTGTGGCTACACTTTCTCATGAGTCTCTTTGATTATAAGAGTATAATTACTATCAGGAGGAAGTATTAAATGACGAAAAACACTGACGAGCAGACAGACTTCGCAAGGTGTATATTTCAGTGTTTTTCATTTTAGATTTGATGACGAATTTATTTCACGGTATTGTTTCTGCCTCTACCACCTTTCACCTTTTTTTACACAAATTTTATGGATCAATGTAATGCTATTGTTGAAAATATTAAGAAATCAGTCATATAAGTTCTTATTTTTATCCGCGCGAACTGACGAAGAAACTAAGAGCGTAATACAAGTTTACAAATTCATTTAGATGTAATCAGCTAATAAGATGCGGCGCGCGGCGCCGGGGTAAGACGTCTTGGATAGTTGTATCCAGACGTAAAAAAATTGCCAGCTACGGGTCCAGTCAAATTATACTTTTTCATAAATTCTGTTGTGTTGTGACGTGAGCGTATTTTTTTTCTTGGTCTGAAAGGAAGATAATAGATTATTCAAAAGGATCAAGTGGAAAAAAGGTTTCGACTATAATATGATGAGTCGTTTCGGATGCCAAATAATAAATTTTAACTTATCATGCGATCACTACAATTCGTCAGCATAGTTACTTTTTGTGATGAAAAAGTAAGCAGAGATAAGGGTTTATGACTAAAGCATGATCTGGTTTTTGTACCATGTCTCTGTTTTGAAACTACTATCTCAATTCCCTCTTAAAGGCTCGTGAAGAAGAAAAACACTTTTCTCTTAGTGACGTAGCAGATTATCAAACGTACGTGTTTTGATTTGCCGACAGGGGGCAACAGTGGGGGCAGCATGAAGGAGGGAGGGAGGGAGGGGGCATTTGTTTATGCTAAGTTGTAGTCTGGGAGATTCTCCGTAAGTGAAGCGAGCTCGGTAAAATTTTGCCAAAAGAACCTATTCGATCGAATCTCAGGAAGTTTTACTTAGCTTAAGATGTGTAAAATATTTAAGCGTTCAAAATTGACGAATTTTGTCTCTTTTACAGTCAGTTTTTCAACACAATTACGTTCCCTGAGGCGCAAAGAATCAGGAAAAAGCAATGAACAATTTAAGGGCAGAAGCGTTCAACTATGAATATTTTTAAGTATCAATCAAGTGATCCTCTTTCTCTCTATCTCTTCCTCTCCGTCCCTCAAAAAAAGAACAACGGACTAGAGTTTATTGGGTATCCTACTTTCACTTTCTTTCTCTCTCTCTCTCTCTTTCTTCCTTCCTTCCTTCCTTCCTTTCTTCCTTCCTTCCTTTCTTTCTTCCTTCTTTTCTTTCTCTCTGTGGTGTAAATCGCCTTAGATGCTAAAGCACCGCTTTAAAATACTTATCTTACTACTACCACTACTTTCTTTCTCTCTAAATAAACTTATCTTACTACTACTACTTTCTTTCTTTTTCCCATCGATTATTTTTCATCCCCTGTCTTCCCGGCTGGAAGGGGGGGATTTCACCATAGTTTCCTCTTGAATCTGCCACTAGTTGGTGAGTTCGTTTTTTGAAGACAGGTTTTCTCACGTCTCCTGTTAGGCAAAACGAATTGACAGTGACTATTTCTTTCCACTGCAGGCATGGTTGTATATGATGAAAAAGCGGTAAGAAGCAAGCACATTCTGCGTTTTGAAGCGAATTTAAGACATTTTTGAAGTGCTCAACGTGATTTATGTACGAATATGGCTGCCCATTCAGTCCACTCAGTTTGCTGTAACTCTTGGTTGCAACAGACCTTAAATAGACTTTTTTTTACACCAATGCTTCTACATTAGGGTTCTTACACGGCCATCAAGTGTTTTCCTTCGTATAAGACTCGCCCGTCTAACTGCTCCATCAGCAGGAATACTATACGATGCATGCCTGTGTGAAACAGTTAAAGGGAAGAATAAGCGCATCTCAATCAATGTAATTGAAGGCTTTGGAGGACAAGGCGCATAAGTGCAGTTTTTGAAAGAAATTGAGGTATTCATGATTTAAAGTAAAACTAGTCTTAATGCACACTCTTTGAAAAATTCGCTCCCAAATTTTAATTTTTAAGCATCGTAAAGTCAGTTCGAACTTTCTTTCTGCCATAAGGATCCATGGAATCTGAAACTTCAAACACGTTTTTCTCGTGATAGCAAAAATTGCGGTTATGCGCCTTGTCCTCCGATCTCTACAATATATATGTATATACGGGCCTGGCAGGCTCGGCTTGAAGATTTTTAGGGGAGGTGTGACTGTGAGTAAGTAGCTTCTGAAACCTAACACGTTTATCTATTTTCAAAAAGGTGAGTATTCTGAGGTATTTGAAGAGCCATTCATGAAGGGAAGGTCGCCAAATTAACATCGCGAGCGATAATGGAATATTGAACTTCCAGCCGCACTTCTCAGACCTGGGCCGAGAGGATCCGGATTTGAAATGAGGAAAAACAAGCTTTCCATTATTTACGGTACAAAATCATAAAAAACTGATATATAAGCAAATTCAGGCATTAGACCGAACAATCTTTAGTATCAGAAATATCAGGAAGTGTCTTAGGGTACGCTGCGGATGCATACGTACATAGTTTCGGCTACTGAATTCGAAAAATTCCTCAGGTATCCTCTATCAAAATCCAATTTTCCAGGAAAAATATGATTTTCCAAAGGAAAAGTTTTTCGAGTAAGATATAACTATTTTAAAGGAAAAACGTGATTATTGGGAGAAGTTCTCTTTTCCTAGGCGAGACCCAAACTAATAGGGAATAAAAGCAGAAGAATGATAGTATGGTAGCCATAATACCTTGATTTTTGTTCTAGAAAATAATCTACCCAGAATGAAGTACAAAATTTCGACAGTTTAAAAAGTAAATATTTTTCAACCAGTGTAATGTTAATTGACGTACCTGAATATATCTTCATTTCACTGGGCCCAATGTAAGCCATAACAGTCTTTCCTTTACGTCCCAATCCCGGTCCAACTACCAAATCTCCGAAAACCCAGTACCACCATTCTCTACCTCTTGGTCTTCCTCGAGTTGGGAAGTCAAGTCCTGCAAATGGCATTAACCATGATTCATAACAATTCCTCTTGACGGAACCGTCGTATAGATAAAATAATTTGCTATAAGATTTAAAGCACGATATCTCACGCACTTGTATAACTAAATGGTAAAAACACATACGTACATTGTAACAAGATGATCATTTTACGGGAGTAAGTTGTATTTTATTTAACTAAAGAAAAAAAAAACAAAAAAAATCGATCAGTACGCCAGACCATGATTAAAGTACGGGTATATAATCGTAATCATTTTAGAGTTTTAAGGGGATATCTTCACTATTTTTTGGTTAATGAGGATCAAGTTTGTGTTAGTTACATCGCACGTTAGTGTTATCAATTATCTCTGAGCAATTCATTCACCTCTGCATTTTTAATCTATTTTTTTATTATTGGGTTCAAGCAATTCCCAAAAATTGTGGGATTTATGGAAAATCAGAGGGTGCCATCTCTTTTCTCTCGCCAAAAGTGAGGGTGAAAGGGCATTTTCAAATTTTGAAACTAGCTAACATATGCGTTGTGTAATACAAGATTCGTGTAAGGTTAGGCAAAGAATCCAATTTTGGATTGCAGGCCCAAAATTTCCACCCATATTTTGCTTTTTACAAGGGAAACAAGTCACCTTTTTTGCTTCAAATATTCCAGAATATTTTTACAGAAGAAAATTCACGGACGTTTTCACAAGAGTAAGTTAATTCTTATTCCAATTATGAAATACAGTATAATGGGAAATCTGCGACGTTGCAGGTACATGCGAGGTACAGTGGACTCTCAATAATTCGAAATTGAAGGGAATCGGCTTTTTCTTCGAATTAGCGAGGTTTCGAAATAAAGAGAGTTTGAATTAAAGAGATTCATGCGGAGAAATTTCGAATTAGAGAGGTTCGAATGTAGAGAGGCAAATGGACGGATTTACGTCAAAAGGAAACAAAAATATCAGTTTATTTCTTTACGGAGGTAAAAATTACACTAAGTTATTTTTAAGTATTAATTATTTATATTTAATTTTAAAATTATTAATTACATGTTTACATTTTGACAATCCTATCAGCTCTTTCAGACACCCAGGTACATAAACAGTTGACTTCGAATTGTAGAGGGAATGTACCGTCTTATTTCGAATTATAGAGGGAGGACCATATTTACTTCCCAAAATTCGAATTACAGAGAGAATTTACGTTGCAATTTCGAATTATAGAGGGCCGCGCCAGCTTAAAAATTTCGAAATAACGAGGGGAGAAAAATACATTGATTTTCTTCGAATTATCGAGAGATTTTCAAGGGAAACGGACTTTCCTTTGAATTAACGAGGTTTTCGAATTATCGAGGTTCGAATTATCGAGAGTCCACTGTACATGTTCCGAGAAAAATATCTGTGGAAGTAGAAAATGTAACACAAACCAACTCAAAATGCTAATATCTATTCAGTTTGCGTTAGATTCAGCACAAAAAACAACGGCCTAGGAGGAAACAGCGGAAGCAACCGAAGCCTGTGTTACATTTTCTGTATCAACCAAATGTACGGCTCAATTTTTCTTTATGTAGTTCAAGAGCTGAGCAATCGATAATTTGAAATTTTTAGAGCTCTGATGGAGGCTTTCAAGTAGAAAAGTTAGCGCAATGTTAGCCCAAAAAATTGTGTGAGGGGAATCAAAATTATGAATGAGACCGTGTTTAAATCGAAGCCAAGGAAAAAGTGCTTGGTAATGCATTCATAAAACGAGAAAGACTTGAGTTGCAGGGTGATTTTTAGAAAATTAAATAGGAAAAAATAAAAAATAATGCTTTTTGGGAACTTATTACCCGTCATAATGAGCACGTACATGCTGCCTTTTTTGGCTTCAGCAAAATGTATTTTTGTAGGTTTCTGTTCCCAAGCAGCGGGCACTATGTAATTTCCAAAGTCAACATAGTATTCTCTATGAAATGCGACCTATGAGGAAAGAGAGAGAAAATAAATCATGTTCATAATGGTACACAGAAAAAATAGATGGTGCTGACGACAGAACCTTCTGTTCACAGGGCTCCTGCAAAACTTCGGTCGTGGGAACAGAGTATACTCTGTTCCAACTGACCGACTGCACTACGTTTGGCGCATTGCAAGAAGTATTCATGCAGTCTTGCAGGCGCTAATATGCGTGTAACGTCTGCCTCTGCTGCCTTGTGTTAGGCGAGATTATTCGAACTCGCGAATAATCGGGGCATCGAAACATGGGGCTTCAGAAATTCATATTGCGTTTTGACGCCGCACGAGCATTCCAGCGTTGCCTCGTTTCTCCCGATGAAATATTTTTTCCGAGAGAAGTTAGGAAAGTTCTCTATGTTCGCTTTTTTACATTGAATGGACCATTAAATAAGGTACGAATTTAAGCACTCTGATAGATGATTCTATATTAGAATTTCACGTAAAACACGATTCGCAAAATGAAAACTACTGAAATCAACTCCTAGCGTATTACGTCATGTTAACATTTTTACTGTAGGTAAGTACATTGACTACGTACAATTTGATCTGCCCAGTCACAAAAGAAATAATAAGAATAATAGAGATAATAAAGTCTAAAAATTACGCTTAGGGGGCAGTTGTTACTATTAATTGTAAATGCCCCAATCACACGCTGAATGTGGAAGTCATCGGCCCGATGCCTGGCACAAAATTCACCATCGATTCATTGACCAACGGATCTGTCTGAACTATTCGAATAGATTTGATACACATCTGGATGAAAATAACCCGAATTTGCGAAATTTCAGCTGTTGAGCGATGACTGCTGACTTCCATAAGCAGCTGCCAAATTCAGCGTGTGATCCGGATTCCGGCAAAATGCAATCTATACGCTACCTGCGATGAAATGGATTGCATTTTGCAAAAAGGAACCACTAGTATTGCAATGATGCTGCAAACATGCATGATTGCATGATGCATGATGCATGATTGTGCAACTTCATCCTTTGCAATAAAATTGCGGAAATTGTAGAAAACTATGAAATTTAGATGGTATAATTTTTGTCTTAAATTTACAGTTTTTAGCGAGTAGTAGAAACTATTTAGGGATAATCGGGTTTTTCCTCAAAGACAAAAGAAGTTGCACAATCTTAGCAACATTGCAATGCTAGTGGTTCCTTTTTGCAAAATGCAATCCAAATGTCCCTTACAAGCGCTAGATTGTTGCGAGTCGACTCCGGCGCCATGATACAACTATTCGTGTTCCACGAATGTGCGTGTTGCCCATTCAAAAATTGAAGGCGCTTCAACTTTTTTCACTTCTTCAGTAATGCAATGAAGTTTTCGTTACTTATAAGACTCGCATAGCAGAGTACCTATGGAGGCAATTTATTTCAATCTCAATCCTTTTACCACAAAAAAAGTGCCGCTCTCAGATTTTTCTGTTGGCTTCGTGGATTTTTTAATTTCCAACTTTTGAAATAATTTCTGAACAAACTTTGATGTATATTTTCGTTGAGTGACCTTTTTCTGATGGTCTCATTAATCTGTTCCTTGAGAATAGAAAATTCTATTGATCGGTTTTGTTTACCGGGATGACGGGTAGGTTAAAAATTCCGCAAAACATAAGTCAGAAATCGAGCATTCAAGGAAATTCGATGGTTTAGAGTATGAATAACATTTAAAATTATCCGTGGACGATGCAAAAAAGTTGCTCTGTCTTTTTGGTCGGATAATTTCACCGAAGCGGGGGGGGATTGGATTAAGCATAGAATCTGTACTAATAGTAATCTGTTTTTTTTTTTCATACGATCTATATAGGTTGAAAAGTAGTAGATGTAAAGTAAAATGAGAAAAGATGATTTCAAGAATTTAGAAATAAAAATTATAATTTTTTGCGTATTTTTTATGATTACTTTTCCAGCTACGTATTTCTTTAAAGGCCTATTTTGCGGTACTTTGTTCTTGCTTAGGGGTGTCTTGCACTTACTTGCACCCTCGTAAATCCGCCTGTGCCCGAAAATATATTCCTCAGATTGGATCACGGATAGTTCGGATGAACTCAAGATATGGCTTACCTCTAAGGTATATTTTGGTGCTTTAGACAATAAATCTGGAATAATTTCATGTTCTCTGAAAGCTGCGTCTATTTCTGCTGCATTTCTTAATGGCGGCGGTGGCTCTATTTGCATGTTGAATCTCGGTTTGGCACAGATCACAATAGGCACCAATAAAAACACTTCCCTCAGTTGATTAAGAGGTATCCAAGGGCACATTTTTATTATTTTCTATGTATGAATCATTCCACTCCTTAAATCATGTATATGAATACTCGCCGTTATATTCCAAGCATAATGAGACGGAAGTATGACGTTTTCGTCGCTTAAAATCGACTAAAAAGCAAAATAAAGTGGACATATTTGTGAATCGGACGGGCCACTGACTGAATTCTGGGTTAGAAGCGAAAAATGAAGAAAAGAAAAAAAGAAGAAAGTTGTGATCCTGAATCGACCTATATTTACATTTGAGAAGCCTGCAATAAGTATTACTTGAATGCTGTCACATCAAACTCGTTTCTTCGGACGCAATTGATTAGTGCGCCTAAGTGATTGCGGGTAGTAGTTTCCACGCCCATTTGATAAAAAGTGATTTAAAATTCATTTCATCACTACGTATTTGTGTCGTCTGAATGAAAATTTATTTTTTGATCAAATTATTTATAGAACTCTACGAGGTTAAATTTAACGATTTTGCTCGCTATGGTAGGAATAATCGTTAGGTGAGCAGACTGTCCTCAAAATGTCGAAAGAAGACTCATAGATGGTTAGTCCCAAAAGAGGAAAACCTGGGGATTCCTTAGTTTATTATACAGGGTGTTTCAGACCACCCGTACCAGGCCTTTTTCTCGATTGGTATAAGTCGTACGAAGTCGGAGACCGCGGGGTTGAATAGGGAATTGACCCCAAGGAATCCGAATTTCGTGGTCCCAAAACCCCCCCAACCCCCCTTGGTAAAGGGGAGGTCACGATGCTAAAAGTCACGGTTCCCGACCGAATTGCGGATAAATCGCATCAGAATTGAAAAGCACGGAAAATTTCACGTGGAATTGACCCCTAAAAATCCAAAATCGGACCATCCAAGGCCCTAAAATGACCCCCTAAAGAGAGGGACAGAACCCCCCTCCATAATTTCTCTTTGGTCTCAAAATTGACGTAAATTCTCCNAAAACCAGCAATTTTACACAATTTGCTAATTCAGCAAAATTAAATTGCACAAATAGCTTTTTTAACTGTTATAATCGCAATAATAACGCTACATTCGCAATATATCTTGTAAAAACAGCAATTTATGAGGTGGTGAAAATCACAATACTGAGATTGCTAAAGTAGCGATTGATTTTAGTAAGTTTCGCAAAATAATTAGTAAAAAGAGCAAAACCATACGCTAATTCGGCAAACATTTTGCAAATCTAGCAACAATTTTAGCGATAACAGCATAAACTAGTAATGTTATTTTCGCAAAATTTTAGTTTGCTATTTTCGCCCAATAAAATTACTATTTTTACAAATTGTTCTGCCATTCTCGACAAGAGGGTTGGAATTAGCAAAAAAGCGAATTGCAGAAATTGCAAACCATTTTTGCCATTTTTGCAAATATTGTTTTTTCCGTGAGAAGTTTTGAATGCGCCATTTTTAAAATCATAAAGCCTAACTTACCGAGAAGTATAATTGGAAACCTACGATGGACCACTAGACAAGGTACGAATTTCAACATTCTGATACATGTTTCTTAACCAAAATTTCACGTAAAACACGATGCGCACAACGAAAATTACCAATATCAACTTCCTACGAAGATATTTAGTGATTCTTGATGCGTGAATTCAAACTACCCGCTCGTGAAAACTCAATGCTCTACGTGATTCACATAGCGCGCTAAACGTTATTATGACAGTCTCTGCGATATAAAAATCTGGCAACCTCAACCTTGACGCTTTGGCTCAGCTATAGCAAATGGCTTATAGTTTGAATGACAGATGGAGGGAAATGAACATTGCTCGATTGAGAAGCTTGCTGAAACCGTTGTAGTGCGCGATTTGACTCACGTAGAGCTTTGAGTTTCTTGTGAGCGGGCAGTTCAAATTCCTCGTAACCAATGTGAAATAAAAACGTTAATATCTTCGTTAGGAGTTGGTTTCAGTAATATTCGTTGCGCTTACCGTGTTTTACACGAAATTCTAGTTGAAAAACATGTATCAGATTGCTTAAATGTGTACCTTGCCTAGTGGTCCATATGGTGCTCTGTTGTGGGTTGCACCATTTAGGTAATGAAAAAAGAAAAGTTATTCCAGAAGTGAGTTACAGAATTTCTTCATCTGCCTCAATTTACTGTGAACTTATTTTTTATCATATATATCTTTTGTCATTGATGTTCTGTACTTCTATTTCAGTACATTTCGGTATCTGATTTTCTATCAGCTGTTGCTTGCGAGTGCTGACAAAGCAATTAAGGGAGATGCTATGATGTCAATGTTCTGTTATATATCTGTATAACTCAGAAGCTAGGCACTAGCTAGGCTAGGACTTATGACGCAATGCATCCTAAACCAAGAAATAAGTTGAGACCTCCGATTTTTTGACTTGGAGGTTTCAGAAAAAAGTTTACCACTTCGTTACTCAAAAGACTGTTAATCAAGGCTTGTAAAAAAAGTGTTTTTGAAGATGAGCAAAAAATGACTTTTTACAAATGAGTCTCACAAGTCTCCAGCTTAATGATAATTAGATTTATAACTGTAACTTACTTTTCTCTTTATCGTGCTTCATACTTATGTAATGCTTTAAACTTTTCAATGTAGATTAACCTTTACGCTTTATACTTAAACATAGTCTCTCCTCTCCTGTATCCAGGGTTACTTTTTTTTCACTGGACTTTTATTTTCTTTTATCCTCAAATTTCTTAATTTTAAACTTAAATTCTTTCTGAATGTACAAGAATCAGCTGAATTCGCTCAACTAGCTTTTTCTAATTTTTTTTTTTATACTTATTCCGCCTATTCTACTTTCTGTATCCTTGATCAAATTTGTGTTTGATGAAGAAAATAGTACTGCGTGTAAATTTGTCAATGATTATTTTCAAATTAGTTCATTTTCAAGGGGGATCAAATCGCTACCTTCCAGCCATATTTAACGCAATTATCGGTGGTGGAACTCATGGTGACTCCTACACCATCTGCCGTACTTTTGCCATGACCGGCCTCACTAAAGTTGTAAGTGGCCAGCTCAAATCCAAGTTCTTTCATAAAATGTGCCAAAAGAAACATGTTCGTTTTTTTCCTATATTGAGTATACCTTTCCGGACCGTATGGAGGCGAATCAAGTTTAGAGGAATCGCTTCGGTCAATTTTTTCAGGGGGAAGGGGAGGCCGAGTGAGTCGGTACGGCAATTTTGTATAAAGTAGTGTCATCATACAACAATTGGAGTGATATAAAAATTAATGATTAACTCAATCACGTCTAGAAGACACGATCGTCACACTAAATATCCAATGCGGTGCGACGGTCGTGACTGTGACGGTCGTGACAAATTTTAAACAAAACCGGCGGGTGTACTCAACAGCAATGAGGTACAATCTCGAAAATTGGTATTAAGGGCTATAAAGTGGGCACAAAGAGTTTTCAGAATATCACACGCTTCATAAAATAAAGGGCGTGACGGTCGTGACGCAAAAAAAGGTTCAGTTAAGTATAATTTCCTTTCAAATCGTGGTAGAATCTTCAAAATGACTTTGGGCGATTACTGCGCAAGCTTGCACCATACTAACACTTCACTTCATTTCACTTGTACACCCTCAAATCATTTTCGCAGCGATTTAACAGCTCCTAGCGACCGTTTTGACAAGCAAAATCACCTGGGACGGTCGTCACGTGAAACTTAATGACAGCATATTTTCGAAATATTTTGGGTGGATGACATATGTTTTTCGCAATCAAATGCATTGTTTACTCAAGTGCAAGTATTTTTGATGAAATCAGTACAAAAATCAGAAAAATATATCAGACGAAAAAAAAGATATGAGGTTGTGAGATTGGGCAATTTGAGATTGAGAATTACTGCTGACAGAAGAAAACGAGAGACCTTAACCTTCAGATGCCCTAGCTGGGTCAGATTTGCCGTGCTAAGGAAGAGCGCCGTATGAACATTCGAAAGTTGCCAAATTTCCTTCGATAAAATGTTTATATTTGAGGCTAATTAAGAATATTTTTCCTTGAAATTTTCAGACATTTTAAATCAAATTATAAACAAAATTATCTGAGAAATTGATAGACAAATATTCAAACATTTTCCTGCAAATTAGTGGTTTGCCACGAAAAATTTGGCAACACCAGAAGGCTCATACGGCGTTTTTCCTTACCACGGCAGAGATTTACTCGATGCTTTCTAAAAACAAGTGCCCTGCGGGTTGTATAGGTCCGGTGCATACAAGCTTTAGACATAGGTCTACAAGTAGGTACATCGTCAAAAATAATCAGGCATCAAATTGAAAAAAAGGAAAAACCGATTGTCAGGGAATTTTTCTGGACAACTACCCCTAGAAAATCCAAGTTGGGTCAAATTGACCCAACATCTTTTCTGGAGAAGTTAGTGAGCCGGTACACAGGAGCTTTACGTACAGATCTACAAATCGACGGTCTAAGTCCGCAACTACGTATCTCGTTTGCGGTGTTTGAAAATCTCTGCTCCTTCATTATTTATTTTAAAGAGAGACAATCGTCATCATTCCTTGAAGTTTTCGCAGAATTTTCTTCACACAGAGAATGTAAATCATGTCAGTTTTAAAGATTTGCCGTTGAGTAGTTTTCCGTTCAAAAAATAAAGTATTACAGGAAGTCCGCGAAGTCGCAAACCTAGTTATGTGATTGCCGACTTCCGCCGTCGAAATACATCCTAGAAAAGACCTCATTAGCAGCATGGAGCGGTGGAGCATTGCAAATTCACTTCTCGCCCCATCACTCTTTCAATTTTGCAGATTCAACAAGGACATTCATCAAGCACGAACAGTTGTATCTCTGTGCCGTCATCAACGCGCCTCCTTTTCCTTGTGTGTTTGCTTTATTTTTAGTGGTGCATCAAGGGACGCGTGAGCAACGCAGCCGAAGATTGAAGACGTAATCCGGCCTCGTTTTTAACTTTTCTCCGGAATATGAGCGACACCTAATCATCATAGAGCGAAAAATTACAAGATCACGCCTCGCGCCACCGCGCCTTCAATTTTGCAGATGCAACACGGACATTCATCAAGTACGAATAGTTGTATCTTTGCTCCGCATCAGCGCGCATCCTTTCCCTTGCTCTATTTCCACATTATTTCAATGCCTTTCGTTTGTCAATGTGTTGTCGTCGTTTGTGGTTTTTGTAGAGAAGACTTCGAGTCAATTTGACCCGACTTGGGACTAGGCGTTTAAAAAAAGTCTGGGCCATCGAAGGGTTAAGAATTATTTTCCTTAATTTCTTATTTCGTTATTCATACACGACGGGAAGTACTAAAAATGCTAAAGAGTATGAGAGCCAAAAAAGTTTTTAACATTTTTGTAAGTCTTCCCCTGGTTCTTTTCTTAGCATTAATAGGGTGTTCCTCAAACCCTCTCTTACAGGGCCCTTAAATTGTTTTACATCACTTGAAAAAAAAAAAGAAGAAAGGGGGGAGGGAGAGAGGGAGGGGGAGAGAGAGAGAAAATAAATCATAAATCTGACACTTTAAGTAGATGACCTGTTCAGAAATTTTTGTAGAGGCTTTACCTACAGCGTTTTCCTTAGCACGGTAGTATGGCAGAAACAAGCGTCGCCTCGCATCAAGTTGTGTAGCATAACAAATGATCCAGAATAAGCGCGTGTCTGTATTGAATAAGCGTGATCAGGAAAATATACTTCCCAGAACTTGGTGCCACTAATTAGCGTTTGTTTTCTCGAGTGTTTGAACCGAATTAAAAAATTAGGTATTATTATATAGTATTCCAGGTTGATTTTTGCGCAAATTCACTTACCCACACATAATATATTTTTTTAACTTTAGGTTTTTTTTGGTCCGTCATCGACCGATTAACCTTATTTAGGAGCAACGGTCATCAATGACTGTAACGGCTTGTTTGAACCGGCAGGACCACCATGAGCAACAGAAAAATGAACTTTATCTGAGATTACTGCCTGTTACCGAGCAAAAGTAGGTGTATTATAAAAATTCACCGTCCCCAATTTCTTAATATATTCGTTTTAGACATGTAAAACACGTTTAGAAGAAGAAATGAGGAAAAATCAAGAGGACAAGTTTAAGTCAAATTTCCGTTTCCCGTCCATGGATTCCCGCGCTCATTTACACACTCACACAAGCGCCCAGCGCCAAACCTGGCTTCACTTTTCCCCCATGCTTTTAGATACGAGCACTCCGTCTTTATGTCTTTGGTTCAGCTAAACTAATGTCATAACTCATAACGCCGCTAGTCGTTATGCGTTACAGATCTAGAACCTCTCGCAGCTCCGTATCGTTCAGAGTTCCTCTATGCCGTGCGCCCGTTGATGCTCCATCTGCACCGGTCGTCCCTCGTCTTTCACCACGTGCGTTTGCTCGCTCGCGCTTCCTGTAGTCAGGTTTTGGAGGTCGGAACCAGGTTTTTTTATATAGAAGTAGACCAGGGAGCGTAAAAAGGGGGGCAAAATTTGAATTTCCCGCCAATGAAAAATGGCGGGAATTTCAAAAGCAGAAGATTGAACTGAGCGGAAATGTGGAATCGTTAGTAGGGTAAGGTAAGCGAATCGAAGATATGCTTCTTTTCTGCAGACTATCCAAAAGTGACGAAACACTTCTTTCCGTTTGTTCCGTTTCGTTTTAGTCTTGGCGTGAAGTTTGAGTTAATGCTGATTTTTTTATTTGGTTCTTATTGGTTCAATCGCTCCCAGTCAGAAGAAGATTGAACAAATGAGAGTCGAGTATAAAAATATTTTTATTTTTTTTTGGTCGTTCTTATGTCGAAGCGGGCTTAAGAGAGCGCGAAGCGCCCTCAGGGGGTTGGTCCGCGTAGCGGTCAGGGGGCACAGCTTCCTAGTACGAATCTAGAGACTGATTCAGTTTTTCCAAACTGACCACTCTCATGGTCATAATTTATAATGTAATGAAACAGTGATAGTGCTTAGAACAAAAATCTGAACATTCCTCTCAGATGGCTGAATGACCATAGAAACATAAATAGTACTGGCATATCCACGGCGTAAGTCTGCAAGCACATATCTCGTTTGCGGTGTCTGAAAATCCCCGCCTCTACGTTATTTATTTAAAGGAGAACAAATTGACATCATTCCTTGAAGTTTATGCAGAATTCTCTTCGAATGGAGAAGAAAAATCGTTGCAGTTTTCCGTTTAAAAAATAAAGTATGACAAGAAGTCTGCGAATAAGTCGCAAACCGAGTTATCTGATTGCCGACTTACACCGTCTATATCTGAAAACGTAATGTCTTTAAAATTCATTATATTCATTTATTACGTTTGACAACAATGGAAGCTTTTACTTTGGGGTTGAATTTCTTTCCCACGTCCTAGTCTACGACTACGTCAGTTGTTTTTCAGGTCTCCATACTGTTATGCGTGGAATTTGCGATACAATTGGAGAAGAAAACTCGGGGCGAGGAGGGAGATTTCGTGACACCGAGACTCTCAGACTTGATGATCCACCAGAGACTTCCTGAACGTCGAACCGAGCACTTGCGAAGTACCCACATAGTCTAGTGTTGGACTTTTTCTTAATTCCTCCAAGAAAAGCAATAGACGTGAGTGACTTGTACTACCATTCTTATTCATTAATTTTGACTTATATTTTTCCAGGCTGTTTTCGTTACTTTTGTGAGTGTTTGTATTTACTCTTCGAGTTTTTTCCCAAACATAATATGAAATTCCAGATCAAATTAGAATCAAGCTAGGATATAAATATTTTTGCTATCAAGGGTATATGTGAAGGGACTTATCCTTTTTTTGTTGCGCACGAATTTCGATTGAAGTCCGATGAAATCCTATTGATCGGTTCAGATATTTAAACGCAGGGACGGATCCAGCAATTTAGCGACACAGGATTTTCTCCATTTAAACCTATGTTGAGTGATAGATTTTTTTCGGAGCACCTGGTCCCTTCAAGAATCGATACATCTCCATAGGTTTAAATGGAGAAGAAAAAATGTTGCTAATTTGCTGAATCCGCCCATTCTTAAATGCCTTCCTGATGAGATCATCTACTGACTCATAGCCTCATCTCGTAAATCTTACACAGTTGACAAACACCGAAAAAACATTGATGTTATTTTAACCTTCTGTATGTAAAAAGAGTGTGCGAGAACTCACAAAATGCTGAATTTACCACTACAGCAGTTAGTTTTACATCTTGACATTGCTGAAGTAACCGCTGTAGCGGTTCATTCAGGATTTTCTAAGATCTCGCACCCTTTTTTTACCTCCAGAATGTTAAATCAACTTAAATTTTTCTTCGGTGTATTCGTAATTGTTTAATATATATCGACGTTTCATAATAGTGTGAGATACTTACATTTAATTTTAATTAATTTTTTCTTCGACATATTTACTTAATATTTTTTTTTAAAATCAGGAAGCTATTGCTGTTACATGGCAAAGGGGACAATCGAAATTTTTAGAAGTAATCAGGATCAGAAACTCTTTACGAAAATTATAAACAGTGAATCCCATCGCAGATCGAGATATAAGTAATGTTTTTGCGTGTGCTTATTTCGCGTTACATTTTAAATATTTTTCTTATAGTTACATCTGTTAAAAAATAAAATTAGAAATTACGGTTTTAAGATTTTATAGCATGCGTTTCTCTCTGAATAAGTAGATTACAATGCGGATTCTATATGAGTGCTATATAAGGTTGTCGCTTATTTAGTTAAAGAGTCTAGACAAATCATTCTTCATTAGGTCACTTTTCCTGGTCGAGGTTTTACTTAAAGTAAATAACTGGATTTCATGTACAGCATTTCATTTTCATAAATTTTCCTAGCTTATCTTATTTTTTCTCTAAAATCGTTGACTAAAATGCTCTATTAAACCATTATCATGGTCACCAGATGGTTTAAATCACCATATACCTCCGTTATTTACGGGAAATAGGATACCTTGAGCATAGCATGATGGTGAGAGAGGATGAGAACAATATGTTTTAAGACAATTCTATGTATGTATGAGCCGCTTTTACGGCGCGCTAGGGCGCCGACATGACAATTCTATTTACAATTTTAAGACAAATTTAAGACAATTCTACCAATGCCAAAAAAATGGAAAAAATGCCGAAGGAAACTTTTTCTCATGAAGAGAGTGCAAGGGATTTTTTTTTTTTTTTTAGTTCTAGAAATAATGATTTTCGACCAAACCTGAGTTTTTTCGACCAAACCCAAGTTATACCCTCAAATGTAAATGCAAAAATTGAATCAGTACGGAGTAAATGTTGCGTAACCTCAATTATGCAGTGATGAACAAGAAGGTAAAAAATCTCGCGGTTATCACGAATTAACTTTGGGAGAACATATGGTGACTGTCATGTTTTTAAAATAATTTTTCAGTTTTCAGCATTATTTCTTATTCATGCGAGTCTCTTTTTGTTCTGCTTACTAAAACGATTGTTTTTCTGTTTCGTGTGTCTATGATCTTTCTCTTAGTGATTCTTAATGCCTCCAATAAGTTGTATGTATCGAGTTAGAGGTAAAGTTGTTATCCTCGCTTACTGATCATCCCAGAGGTTGCTTCAAAGCGTTCATTCATATCGGGACTGTTGCAAGGATAATTTCTAGAAGTCACAAATCGAGTGCTCTCCTTAATGTGTCCATCATTATAGATAAATTATTTTGAAAAAAGATGAATACGTCATTTGAAATTAGTTTTTGTTGTGAGTCATGGTATTCTATTTTTATCTGAACTCATTTTCTTCCCTTACTTCTACTGCATTCATACAATCGTAAATCTTTTACAAACTGCGATTCTTTTTTTTCTTCTTCCTCTTTTTTTGATTTTACATGGGTAAACATTTGATCCGTATATCTTAGACCATTTTTGCTGCATGAATTTTATTTTAATTTTTAGGAAAATGGACCAAAGACAAATAGACGAGAGGGCGAAGAACTGGAACCCAAACAACAAAGCAGGAGGCGGTTACGGGAATCGCCCTCGCGCAGACGCGCAGTATTCATCAACCGAAAACCGGGCAATGCAGTTGAATCGAAACAATCCACGTTTCCAAGGAAATCCGCGGGATCAAGCCCAAAATAAATAAACGCCCAAGGTAATCCTTTGCATTTATATCGATAGAAAACACTGCAGGGGTCAATATTTTTCTCCTGAGCTTGTGGTTATTTCAATCACATGAACGAGCGCGGGAGGTAGTGCCGATCCCCAGAAATATTATTCACACTGCATGTGAGAGGCCGAGGCGAAGGGCTCCCGAATCACCAATGGGGATGTTGCATGTGTGAGGGATTTGCGATTCGACCATTGATTCTTATGTAAAAGTTCGCGAAAAACACGATGGTGCCACTGGTTTTCTCTGAAATCATCTCCCAAGCTCAAAAAAACTCTCAAAGTGAGGCCAAAATAGAGGGGATATCCCACGCTACCCTGAGAGTCCACCTCTACATCAAAACAAACTCTCCATGCAAAGATAGGGAGCTAATACATTGACAGAGCTGCCACTCTATTTGGGGACTCCAAAACTGAAAACACGGCAACCCTGTCAATGAATTTGCTCCCTATCTTTGCATGGAGAGTTTGTGTTGATGTAGACGTGGACTCTCAGGGTGGGGTGGGATATCCCCTCCATTTTGGCCTCAACTTGAGAGCTTTTTTTGAGCTTGGGAGATGATTTCAGAGAGAACCAGAGGCACCATCGTGTTTCTTGGGAACTTTTACATGAGAATCAATGGTTAAATCGCAACTCCCTCACACATGCAACATCTCCATTAATTTATTCAAATCTTTCAAACTCACGGCATGTCCAAAGCTAGATTTTTTAAATATTCTTTTATAATATTTTTTTTTTGTAAATTGAAAAAGAACAGGGTGCAAAAAAGAGCATCCCGGTAATTTTTGTACATCCGCGACACAGCTCGTACTTTCCGCGCTTTTTTTCCCCTCACAAGACATTCTGGTTGATGCTACAAGATCCCTGGAGCACACATAAGAAAAGTCCAAGACGACCTTTTTCGCCACGTTACGTTTTGTCACGAAATTGTTTTCCGGCGCCTGGATAATTAAAACTAAACAGCTGTTACATCGGGCCAAATAAATTCTGTAATTTTCAAACTCTATTGAACTTATGATGTTTTCTGAGTTTGTTTCTAGACGATTAAAAAAAAAAAATTGTGGACAAAGCAGATGGCGGACGTAATTTTGTATTAAGTATACGAGATTCGTTGTAGCCGAGCAGGTTTGCTCAATTTTCTCTCATTCGGAAACTGTCCCTGGTAGAAGCAAATTTAAATTCATCAAAAAACCGAGTGAACTTTTGCCAGGGGAAACCGTTGACACTTTCCCGTCAAAACCGTATTATTTCATTTTACAGGAACTTCAAATAAGCTCCTCTACGCTAGAACGACTCAAATAGCTCGATGATTAAATTAATATACAATTTAAATTTAAATTAATAATTAGGCAATTGACCAGTTTCCAACTGTTTATCAAAAACATAGTCTAAAGAAAAAAATTTAGCAATAGAGAAGGAGAGGTAGAATAATAAATACATAAAGTAATATAGTTAGTAATATTTAAGTGCTGTACATAAAACAGCACTTCCCCGCAGCTTCTTTCCCGCAACAACTTTTCAGCCAATGAGCGTCTTGCGATGCTGTCGAGTCTACAATAACAGTCCATTTCACGAAACCTGAAACTTTGTGTTCGGCATTAAAATCCGTAAATTGGCAACGCATCAGTCGCCAGTCGCTCACGCGATGACCCGACCTTTTTTCTACGCGGCATCTCTTTAGTTCACCGATGAGAGGCCGGCAAACCCGTCCACTGTGAGGGTGGGAACATTAGCACCCTATATCCCTCCTTAATGACCCCTCGTACCGGAACAAAAATTTCTTCGCCGTTGAAAAGTTCATCTTTCAGCGGGAAAATTGAGCTTTTGTACGAAATTATGATAAAAACGCATTGAAATTCCGTCCAATTTTCTTGATTTTAAGAGGATGGAATCGCGGTGGTAAAATCAAGATAATTGGACAAAATCTTTAAAGTTACCATAAATATTTAAAATTAATTTACATTCACTGGAAAAAAAGTCGCTTGAATCTAGACTCCAGACTCTTAAAAACATTGACTCGAAAAAATACTCTTGATTCAATCGGACTTTTCGCTTGAATCAAAAGGAAATCAGCCTTAATCAAGAGGCTCGGCTCTTCAATTCAAGGAAAAATCTGATTGAATCAAGAACAGTTTTTCTTGGCAATGTTACTAAGAGTCTGGACTCTAGATCCAAGAGACTTTTTTTTTACCAGTGTTCAACGTGCATGAATCAATATTTTCTCCCAGATTTAGCAAAAAGTACCAATTAATACGAATAGCAATGACGTGAAAATAGTGTGTGTCCAACATTTTAGTTATTCGGCACGCTTTTCCAACGTTTTCATGTTGGAATTTTCCTCTTGCCTTTTAGTTCAGGACCTAGTCTAATCGAATCGCCCATTTCTCAAACTCCTTGCTCTAATTATTTTGGGTTGATGCAAAGAAAGTTTACACCGAGGCAAATGTGTGTTTGAATCAGATTAAACTTGAAGGATCCTACTTAACAATTTTTGAATAATTAAATTAAGCACATAGAAAGTCAGTGTGCTGGCGGGTTCCGTATTTTTATGTGAACAAATTTGGTAATAGTAGGTATACGCTAAACGCGAGTGATGAAACCCTTAAATAAATAGCAAATGGCGTAGGACGTAGTAAATTCGTAAATAGTTTTCTAGTGTATCTCGATATGCGAAAATGTTCGGTCATGACCTCTCTACCATAAAATATTCATATATTATTTTCCTCAATAATTCCAATTCGTTTGAAAAATTCGAGTTGTTCTAGAGAAGAATTGAATGAAGAAGTGCCCAATTGTTTTGAAAGGAATGACTGTTGAAGTGTTGATTCGAGAGAAATTAGGTTTTTACAGAAGACATTAAGTAGAGCGTTTTTCTCAGCAGACGTGAATAATGGATCTATCCACTGATACATCCTACTGAATCGACCCTTCATCTATTACAAGTTGGCAACACTGTTTTTTCTCCATTTTAATGTATGTTAAACAAAAAAACTCTATATAGGTGAGGCAGCCTGGTTCACCTGGAATCGATATATTCGATGGCTTTGAATGGAATATTAACAGTGTTGCCAAATTGCAAAAATAGTCTCTGTTATCGGTAAAATCTAAAAGAACCCACAATGAGCACATTAAGAACGTCTGGAATGCGCTGCAAAAATCATAGCAGCTAGTAATCAGGGTTCCTCGAGAGATATCGACGGTAAAACTGCAGAGATGCGCTGGACGTCCAATGATATTTTATTTACCGAATAGAAAACTTCTCAACAGATTTTTTTTTTTTTTTTTTTTTTTTTTTTTTTTTTTTTTTTTTTTTTTTTTTTTTTTTTTTTTTTTTTTTTTTTTTTTTTTTTTTTTTTNAAACTTCAGAGATCCATATGACCTAAACTTCAGGTCCCACGCACGAGTTTTTTTTCTCCGTGTAGTAATCAGGGTTGCTCGAGAGATATCGTCGGTAAAACTGCAGAGATGCGCTGGACGTCCAATGATATTTTATTTACCGAATAGAAAACTTCTCAACAGATTTTTTTTTTTTTTTTAACTTTGGTGATATTTTTTCTCTTTGTGGAGTATGTTCTACAAAATGGTCAAGCCATGACATTGCTTTATGTTCCTTTGAAAAATAATATTTGGAACACCTCCACCGATATACGCGTTTCTGCAATTACGCCGTCATAATGAGAGAAAATAAACAAATTTGCAAAATGTGCACTTTTTCTGATTTTTGAACCCCCTTTTGTGTAATTTGTACGTTTTTTTATTAGATTTTGAACATTAATTGTGATGTGTACCTTTTTTTTTCAGATGGACCTCAGCTTTTTAGCCACGGATAATTATCTGCTTCAATTTTTTTTGACGTTCCATCAATTGACAACTTGTACTTGCATTATTACTGCTACTACTACAATTTTGCGTGAATATTTTCTAAATCTATAAATAAAGCTTATTTGGATGACAATACATATTTTTTTAAAAAAATAAAGCACCTTGCAAATCCTCATTTTTTAATTTGGTTCTCACCTTCGTGGGTGGCATTCTTTTTCTGCAATCACAATTCTCGGCATCAGGTTTCAAATATTTTGGTTTGCTGCTGCCGGAATATCTCGAGAACAGATAAATAATAAGAGCAATGTAAAAGACACAGAAACCCTTAGCTTTTAGGAGTTATAATTTGTTTCCAAATTTATTCTAGCGCTTGCGAGCCATATCATTTTCTCACCACCCGCCGAAACTTTATATCATGTTGACGCGATAAAAGTATTTACTTATAATATCTTTCAAACTGTAAATTTTGAACATGCGGTGGCAAAAGGTTGGTCTGGAAAATAAAGCGTTACTTGATAATTTGCTGACCAAAAATGGAAAGAAAAACAATGTATGCTTACTTTTCAAAACCCCTTTTTTTAGACTCACTTATTTTTTGAGATATAGTTATTCTAGAATTACTCATAATCCAAAATAGCTTTTGCGGCTTTTTTTTTGTTTTTAAAGAAGAAAAGGAAATAATGAACACACACACACATTTACTAGGTGATCCAATAATCTATGCCATTTTAAGAGGAACGATAATCCTTCGCCAAAATCAGGAAATCTCTTTCCTCAGGAGCTGATGAAAGTCTAGAGTAAAAAGCTTGAAGCTTGAGTGCATCTGAAAATACTTGAAGTGCGAAGTTCTGGAGGCAGGATTTTTCTTCTAAATGTTTCAAATCTCAAGCTTGTTTCATTGATGGGATACGATTTTCTTATTTATTTTCAGTTTTAGAAAGCAGAGTGAGAGATCATAAGTTTTTTTAAAAAATTTCCAAATCCTGGTTCCATTAGTAGAGTTTATAGCTACAATTGCCCCTCAGAAAAGTAAAATGACAAAACATAAATTTTCAGGTGAGAAACTTTTCAAGGAGTGAAAGAAAAACGTTGCAAGTTTACACTAAATATACAGTTAATGCAACCTAATATTTACAGTTAGATGAAATGTGAGAAACATGCAATTGCTAGGTTGCCATTTACAAAGTAAGACTTAGGAATAGAATAGTGAAAAATACACACATCGATGGAAAAATACCTAGTCACGGATCTCGATTGCGACGTTTAAGAATGTTTTCTCATAGTTTTAATGTTTTCAAGATAATATATACTGCTTGGCATTTTTTTCCGCGAATCCTCAGAGAATATTGTGATCTTGTGAAGAGAGCGAAGAAAAATGAAACGAAATTCTAGTAAAAAAAAACATTATCAGGTCTTTAAGAAAATGCAAATGTGACTGAAGATTTACAACGCCAACGGTGCAAACTGAGATGAGTGGTTTAGTACATGCACCATCGATGTTTAAAACACATTTTGTGGTAAGGAATTTATTACGTCTGGCTCATTATATATACCTAGAAACAATTGATGTGCCATTTGATTCCCTGTGCATTAATTAATTTTACTGATGAACCAGAAATAGCAGTTCTCTACTGTAAAATGTAGTCCATTCACAAAATAAATGAACATATTACTCGAATGGACAGTTTGTATCTTGTCATTTCTCTGACGTAAGAACGACTCAATAGACTGACTTAGTGGCTACGTAATTCGATATATTATCAAACCCTTGGTTCAAATGCAAACATACATAGAACTTTGCTTATGATTAGCGCCATTTCGCACTCATTCCCGCCCTTTGCACCATAGTGGTAAAATGCGTCCAAGTGTTTCTTACAATCGAAAGTTCTCGTATTTAATGAGTCTTTGATTGATTCAAGACGGGTCAATGACTGAATTTTAATAAATTAACACAATTAACTCATGAGGAATTTGCACATGACGTTATGTTAGTTTGTTTTGGTTCGAACCAAGAGCTCGATATTACATCGAATGACGCAGTCACTAAATCAGTCTATTTCAATATGAGCCCTGGAAAGCATAAAGTCACATGGATATCAGGGGTCATCACAATTATTTGTACTACTCCCTTACGTCTGACGAGTAACGATCTGCTAATCAGGAAACTTTAAGGTAGAACTTCATATACGTATCTTAAAATTTTCTAAAACTGTAACATGTTTTGCTTAGCACTCCTCACTACAGTGGCAAATGACGAGAATTTTCCTGCTCATAAGTACAGTATGTGAGCCATAAGGGCTAATATTTCTACGAGGAGAATATATGCTGACCATCAGTCATCAGCATGTCTACTTTGATCGGAATTCGATCGTCTATCCAGGGCTTTAGAAGGCTTCCAATCATTGCTTCAATGTGAACTCACCATACAACGGTCAAAAGCTCGAAGAAAGTTTGTTAACTTGCAACACAGTACAGTCACGAACGTTTCTTGTATTTTCTTTCTTTTTTATGAGCTAAGTTCGAGTTAGCGGTGCTCAACATTTTGACAATTAGATGTATTTCTATCAAATGGAACTATGTGCATGAAGACATGAGCCCTGAGACTCATAAGAATACATTCATAACAGGGCTCACTACTCACGTCATAATGCACATAGTTTCACCGAAAAAAAAGTGAAGTTGAATGAACATTCTGGATGTGAAGAAAGTGTGCGAGAACCTTTAAAATTCTAAATTGCCCACTGCAGCAGTTAGTTTAGCAATGCCAAGATGTAAAAGTTACTGCTGGGGTGGGTAGTGCAGAATGTTTTAAGTCCTCGCACACTTTTTTTACATCCAGAATGTTAACTCAACTTCATTTTTTTTTTCAGTGTTCGTTTGACAGAAATACGTCCAATTGACTACTTGTCACGATTTTTCTCACCTTTTTCCTTTTCTTTTTTTTTTCAACGTAAGGGAGAATAGGCAAGTCAGCTCGGCCTCACATGATTTATAAACGACAGAGGGGAGGGTTGGAAGTCCTTTATAAGTGCCAACGACGGAGAGTAAGAAGTCTAAAAAATCAGGAGGAAATGCCGTAAATAATTTGTGGGCTGCTCATCTTGAACCCTCATTTGCATACCTATGTTGTTGTATTTGTTTACGCTTGCTGCAGAATATTGTTTTATGGTTTAAAATTATGGAATGATAAAAAATTAGTAGACTGGTGCCAAGCTCTAACGATTGCTCCAGAGATCTAGATTTGCTCCAAGTTTTTACAATCAATTTTATAATAGATTTGAAAAATGCAAATGATTGCTGTTACCCATCGCAGCATTGCTCATACCATTCTTTTCTTCCACCTGGATTTTATCGATGATATTTAGAGCAAGCAGTGAGACTTTTCGCATCATTGATTAAAAAAATTAATGGAGAAAGAATGATTTGCGCTACACCTCGATATGTAACAACAATCACTGAATTTTTTGAAGGACGATGCCGTTTGTCAGAATTATTGAAACCGGGCGTTTTGAGTTCGGATTTAATGCATTATTTTGAGAAATCAGAGTCAAATGGTCTTATTTGCGTTAAAACGTATTGCTAACAAGTTCCACGTTAGTAGCATGCTGCAAATAAGAAACGTTAGAACATTTACTTTGAATTAAAAATAAAATTTTAGAAAAGTATTAACAAATGATGCCCTACAAAATGGGGGAAAATCTTGAAAACAAAATAATTCATCGTCATTAAAATGTTGCAGCGCAACTAAAGGACTTTGGCTCTCACTCCATATTTTTTACTGATCAATAAGTTTTACGATTAACCTGCAACCTGTTAAAATGACCCATTGTGTTTTTGACATTGTATTTATTGAAGATATTTTGACAGCTTATCTACCATCAAATTTTGACGGGCCGCAGTATTTTGTTCAAAGTAAGATCAGAATGGAGTGCCACCATTCATCATTCCCTGCCACAGGAAACATTTTTGCCAAGCTTTCATTTTAAAATGAAGCAAATTAATGAGTTTTAGACTGATGACTCCCGACACTTTGATGCTACTTTGATCGGAATTGGTTCGGGAATTTGATCGTCTATCCAGGGTTTATAAGTTCTTTCTAAAGCAGGGGCGCGGCGCGGCGTGGCAAGAACTTTTTCTTGGTGGTGGGAGTAATCCGCGGTTAAAAAATTCTCACAGGAGGAAAAAGGTGGACTCAAAAGATAAACAAATGTTTAAAATCACGGAAAATGACGTCTTTTCAGACCCTCCTGTAGCTACGCTGTGATCACTGGCCTGAAGGCCCTTCCGCTTTCGCGAGGCACCGGAAAGGTAATTCGAGACCCTTACTTCCCCAAAGCGCTATAACATAATTTATTAATGGCACCTTCTATTTCTTTTGGAAGGTCACCATCTCCTCCAACAGTCATGCCGAGCTATGTTTAAAAAAAACGATGTATCCCTCAGCCGACCATAGGGGGCACAAGAAGGTCAGATTTTCGATGAATGTGCTTTTAGTGTCACCAAATGTAGCCAATCTCAATTTTGCTTGAATCCTCCACTGGCTGAGTTCGTCTTAAAACTGGTTTCTCACTACTTCTTTCATAGCGTGCTCTCACAGTGATGCGATTTTTAGCCGGTGAAATTGTTGACGTTGACTTGGGACTGCTTATTCTGAAGTAATTGCTTGCAGTGGTCCTGTTTTCATTCATAGAAATAATCGCCGAAGTTGATTTAGCACTAATTCGGTCATAACGTTCACTTACCGCGATGCTATTTGCAGTTGGCCCCTTTGTCAGTGTAGACTTATCACTAGTTTCTTTAAATTTATCTCTTAAGGAGGTGCTACTTTCAGCCGTTGGAATAATAGTCGATGTTAATTTAGTGCTAATTCTTTCATAGCGTCCTCTTAAAGTGGTGCTGATTTCGGCTGGTGAATAAGTCGGCATTGATTCACTACTACTTTTTTTGAAGCTTCCTTTTAAATTAGTGCGATTTTGAGCTGGTAATATTGTGGGTGTCGGCTTGTTATTACGTCTTCCGTAGTTACCTTTCAAAATGGTGCTTTTCTCAGTCAATGAAACTGTTGAGATTGACTTGGCTCCTCTCTTACCGGTACTTTTTTCATGTTGGAAAATCGTCGAGGTTGGCTTGACATTATTTTCGCCAATTTTCTCCCCTAAATTGGTGCTATTTTCAGCTGGTGAGTCCACCGAAAGTCGCTTTGGTGCGTCCACTAAGAAGAAGTTGCATGCGAACGGATCACCGAAGTTGTATTTTATTGCAAAGTTTTTTGACGAAAAGTAAGCTCTTGCAGGATCCGTCCTAAAATACAAGAATACAATTGATGTCTAATTCCAAATGAGGAGACATTATGGTAATTAAAAATATGCATTTACACGCAGGGACATGATTCTTTGATGAAAATAAGCCAATAAGCATCTAGTAATTGTATATTTCCCATGAAATGCGCGCTCAGTGTTTGCCAATGAGATGCCATGATGAGGATTATCAGAGTGAGTTGAATAGAATGGATGGGAACTCAGTATGAATGTATAGAACTTAACGAAAAAATTACGAGAGAGACATCTTTAAAGTTGTATGTGAATTGCTTTTTCTACAAGAACAGCTCAAAATTACTCCTATGACGTACACAGTGGTGATTTTTCAAAGTTGGCAAATCTGTTTTTCCTCCATTTAAATGTATGACAACAGGATTACATTTTGCAATTAAGGAACCACTATTTCTGGCTCATTTCAGAAACAACATATGTGACATTAATTTCCCTATGAAGATACGTGCTTTCATGGAAGAGCCAGAGATAGTGGTTCCTTATTGCAAAATGTAATCCAACAATCGAGCAATGTATTATGTTCAATTGTGTATGTGAACATTTGATTCTTCTCACCTAAAATCGATATTTTCAAAGGTCTGGTTACACGATCAAATTGAACCATCAAATTGGGCCTCCCATTGGTCGCATCCTCACCTTAGGTCTTTTTCCACCAATTAGAGCTTCAGTTTTATGGCTAAATTTGATCGTGTAACTGGACCTAATGATAATGGCTTTAAAGGTAGGAGAAAACAGTGTTGCCAACTTTCAGGAATCGTCACCATTTGACTATTAAATGTTCATAATTTTACGGATGGGGGGGGGGATCGGATCTCCCTTTGGAGTTGCCGCAGAGCCCTCATGAAGGGTGCTTTTTCATACGCCCTCCGCGAAAAATTCCAAATCCCATAAGCGCAGTATCCTGTCCCGACTTCAGAATTAATTAAAGCCAAGACTTGACCTGGAGTGATAATTTTTCTAATCTAGTATTTACCTTTCAGTAAATAAAAAGATACATTTCCAATGATATTCTATACGCAATTTTTCTAATCTAGTATTTACCTTTCAGTAAATAAAAAGATACATTTCCAATGATATTCTATACGCAATGAATGGTGGAAAATATTTCTCGAATAAGGTGTTTAAAAATGTTAAAGGTTATTTTTAAAAAAAGCAACCCATGTTAGAGGGCTACGCGGAAAAATTCCGAGAAACAAGCTTAAAACTTACGTATACTGTAGTTTCCGCTCCTGAAAGTTGACTCTGCCTTGAGGTTGCTTATAGACTAAAAAAACCAGTCGATGTGTCCCTTTAAAAAAAGTAACAATGATAATAAATAGGTGTACTTACAGATGAACGAATCAATCAATGATGCAAATGGCAGAGAACCTTTCAACATCAATTTTATTTCTATGAGATTTCGTTGAATAAACCATCTCAGTAATTTATATTTCCCCGTAAACAAAGACAATGTATTGATTTCCCCTAAATTAGAATATATTTGAAAGCACATTTGACGAAATTTTCTGTCATCGCTTGGACTTTATCGATTTAAATTTCTCATGTACACTAATAAATTAAACAGAATGAATCAAATAAATAAGGCAAATCCCTTAAAATTAAAAAAAAAGATATCATGGAAGCGTCATGTTTGAAAGTCCTTTCAAATTTGTCGCATTTTTTGCTCAAGAGCTTCAGTTCCAACAAAAATTAATTAACTAAAATGACGTGACATTTTCATAGATTTGGAAAATGACATTAGTCTTCGTGGTATTGAAAAAAGTGTGGAAGTTTTTGTAATACCAAAATAATGTATAAAATTCCAACTTCCAGTTTCTCACATGTGACGATTTGAGCCTATAGTTCTGTTGAGAAAAAAACCCATGCCTTAATTCATTCAATAATATCGATTGACATGCCTATTTTTTGGGTCTTTCAATAAAAAAGGTGCATAATGTATGAATACGACATGAGAGGTCAACAGTCTCACTTCTAGTTCTGTCATCGACTCATTGACCGTACAGGCGCAATATTGGATAATGGGTGACGCAATTTGATCAAAAAAGCTTGATCAGAATTTGAGCTTATTGCATAGGAATAAGAGCTCGAAGAATTGACTGCAAAAATATTTAAAAGTATCGCACATTGATTGCGGGCTTGGCTGAAAAATACTTGCCTTCTTCAGGATTAGGACGAATATAGGGAGCTAAGATTTCGCCTTGACTGATTGCTGGTCCCGGTATATTTCCCAACAAGAAGTGCAACCACTCCCTTTTTATAGGTGATTTTGGAGACGGTGCATCAAGATCTGTAATTTTACACCAAAAAAAAGGAGAAGGGAAAAAAAATATAATCACCGACAAAAATTTAGAATAGTTCACATTTTAAAAAGCCAACTATATATTATAAGTACCGAATGAAAAAATATTGCATTTAGAGAGTGTCACAACACTTGAAGCATGATTCATCCATCCAAATCTGCACTGTGAGGCTAGGTAACCTTGGATCTCCATTGGAACGTTGAAAGTTTCCGCATAAATATTTTTATGCGGAAGAATTAACCTTTTATAATCCTTTATTTGACGTATAATTGTTAATGGTAGTTTGGAAAACATATATCATACTCTTATAACTAATTATCATAAGGGTTTTGCGTAACGCATAACGCCTGAGGCTCTATGCGCTTTGGTGAAGTGTGAAGTGGTCTAGGAGCGGAGCCCTCTAGTTCTTCATAAAAAGGGTTGCTCTTCTTTTAAACTACCAAAAACATATTTAAACACCGCAATCAATAAATAGTGTTTCGTACAGGCTCGGACTGGCCATAAGACCAATCTGCCATTGGCAGATACGCCCCCTTGGCGCGCCAAACACGCGCCCCTCTGACAGATAGCAAAATAAGAAGAGAGAAAAAATTACGACCGAGAATATATGTGGAAAATTTCTTAAATGAACGGAAGAAGATAGAGTTAGGAGCGAAGAGAGGTGCTTTTACGCATAGTGGTGAACAGAGGTCAAAGAACTACTTTCTGAAGCGAAACACTTTTCTGTGAAATTGTCACCTTTTTGTTGACATACAGGCGCTTTATCCCCCTCCTTCATTTTCTATGTGTAACTCCCGTAGAAACGATAGCCGATTCGATTTTTAGACATACGCACACTTTATAGACATCATGAGAGACCTTTAAACATATTTCTTCCTTTTCAAAATGACTATTGATTTGGACATATCATAACATATCTCGGGCAAACTTAACCTTAATTTATTTCGAAATTCAAAAGTAAGAGACATCTAAAGTGTAAACGCGATGATACAACTATTCTCGCAAGATGGCGTGAGTCGTGAACTCGCAATGCTCTGCTCTAGTTTAAAGCAACATCACAAATAAGACAAATGGAAACAAACACAACATGGAAATAGAGCGAGGGAAAGGACGCGCGTTAACGACGGCGCAGAGATACAACTATTCGTACTTGATGGACGTCCGTGCTGCATCGGAAAAATTGAAGGCGGGATGACGCGAAGCGTGAGTTCTCAATGCTCTGCTATGTGCTGCCAATGAGGTGTCACTCATCTTCGGGAGAAAAGTTAAAAAAGAGGCCCGAACACATCTCTTCTACCTTCGGCTGTGTTATTCACGTAGTGCTTGAAGCACCATTACGAATAAGACAAACGCAAGCAAATACAAAATGGAAATAAAGCGAGGGAAAGGATGCGCGTCAACAACGGCGCAGAGATACAACTATTCGTACTTGATGGACGTCCGTGCTGCATCGGAAAAATTGAAGGCGCGAAGACGCGAAGTTCTCAATGCTCTACTATATGCTGCCAATGAGGTGTCGCTCAGATTCGGGAGAAAAGTTAAAAAAGAGGCCCGAATACGTCTCTTCTACCTTCGGCTGCATTGATACTCGTTCTTTCTTCTTTTTTCAAGTTCTTGCCTGATTCTTTTTTAGGATGGATTTATAGACCCACGTCTTAAGCTCGTGGAAACCGCAGCACTGACACGGTTCTTGTGGAAAAAATGGTGCTTGAATGCGTCCAGTGGCTTTAATTTTTTTGTTTTCTTTAATTTCAGAAGTCTGTCGGTCA